TTTTAAAACCAAAAAAATTAATGAATGAAAAAAAGAAGATTATAAATGACTATTTACATTCGTTATATATTGCTAAGAAAAATGAAAAAAATATTCAAAAAGGATTATCTAAGTTATATGCTCAATACAATTATATGAACAGTGGTTAATAGTTTATCAATAATTTGTTTATTAATCATTAATTTTTGACTCAAAACTGCTTTTTTATTTTTAAAGTCTTGTAAATATGTTCTGAATGTATTAATTTATTTGGATGATATTTGAAATAAAATGATCTACTTACATTATTATTATATATATATTTTTTTATTTATTCTATTCAAAGTTTCATCAAGAAAAGACGAACGGTGAGAAAATGTCAGCGAACAATTTCTACTGATAAAGAGCTATTCGAAATTGAACGATTTAAAAAATGTTCGAAAACTTTTATCATCAGGAATACATTGGATTTTATAGATTACACGCTTTTTTTTAACCATATTTCAGAGAAATTAATTTTGAAGTTAAAAGAATCGTGTGAAAATACATCTATAAAATTTAATTTAGTTGTAGATAGTGTTTACGAAAGAATTTTAATGCAAGAAGTACATGATATTGCATTCAAAACTTCTAATGTTTTTGCGTGTAATTCATCAAATTTCAAAAAATTACTAAACAACATGTTCAATAAATTGTTACGAGAAGAGGCAGATTTTAAACAGAAAGGTTCTGGATGGTCGCTCAAGGTGATAGAAACATTGCAGCTGAGAATCAATATAGTGAATCCTCTGAAAGAGGGAACATATATTGATTTACCTAAGTATGTTAAAGATAAAAAAAGTGATTATCAATGTGAAAAATAGTGATAATAAATGTTTTAAATATGCATTATTATCAAAGTTTGATTATCTTTCCAATAAAACTAATTTTAATGAAAAATATTTTAAGATGTTAGAGTTAAAAAGTGGTTTAAATTTTAAATGTGTTGATTTTCCAACACCGATCAGTAAGATACCCAAATTTGAACGTATAAACAATATTTCAATAAACATTTATAGTTTGGATGATAAAGAAACATTTTTTCCCTTGTATGTATGTAATACTGAAAGAAATAATCATTTTGACCTATTTTTGTTTAATAATGATGAAACATCACATTATTGTTATATTAAACATTTTTCAAGATTAATCAGAAGTCAGAAAACGAAAAATTGTTCAAAGTTAATTATTTGTAAGAGATGTCCGAGCAAGAACTTCTATAAAACTGGTTTCATCAGAAAAAAAAGCGAATAAACTAATGGCAAAAACTAGTTTTAAAGACAGAACTATATACTCTAAAAATCTCATGGCTATTCATCAACATAAGGAAACTATTAAATTCGATAAGGCAATTTATGTAGGATTTGCAATTTTAGACGTTTCGAAAACATTTATGTACGATTTTCATTATAATGTCATGAAGAAAAAGTATGGCACTAAAATTAGTTCTTTATATTCGGATACTGATTCCTTGATATACGCTATTCAAACTATCAATTTTTTCAATGATTTAAAAAATGATTTATTACCATATTTTGATACATCTAATTACCCTAAAGACCATTATTGTTATAGCGAATTACATAAAAGTCAACCAGGCTTTTTCAAGGATGAATTGAAGGGAGTAATACTTAAAGAATTTGTATCATTAAGACCAAAATCATATGCATACAAAACTGTAGACGGTACTGAGGAAAAAAAAGCAAAAGGTGTAAAGAAATATATTATTAAAAAACATATGCAATTCGATATATAAGGATATACTAAACGCTTTTATAAACCATTTATCTGTTAAGGATAAATTAACTCATAGAACCATGAATTTTATCCAATCAAACAAACATGTTGTTCAATCGAAAACAATGAACAAACTTGTTTTAAGCGCTAATGACGATAAACGTCATATAAATAATGACGGGATAAATACTTTAGCTTATGGTCACTATAAACTGGATAAATTATGTAATGAAGGAAAAAAGAATTGATAAATCCGCAATTGATATAAACAAAAGCGTTATCTAACGGTAGTGTAATAAAATTTATTTTTAAAAAAAAAATAAATTTAAAAAAAAAATAGCTTTTGGGATAAAGAAATTACAAACTAAAAAACAAATAATTAATTCAACTTTTTTTTTCTAACTTTTATTATTAAAGTATTACATATTATGCATAAAAAATCTTTATTTTAAAATATCTGATAATGTTATCCATGAATTTTGACTTGAATCAAAACCTAACCATTTAACAAGCATTTTATTCCCAACTTTTTTTACAATACGTTCAATGAGAAAGGTGTTTGGAAAATCAGTTAATTTAATTTCCTGTTCATAAAAACCACCTAAGATTATATTGTCTGATTCATCCTTTAGTTGATAAGTTACTGGATTTTTCTGTAAAACTTTTGAAACTGTAAATATTTCGGTTGTCCAATTTGGTGTATATCCTTTACTAAATATATGTTTATACTTAGATATTCTTAATTTATCATTAATTTTTAATTTTGGATTATATAATGTATCATTTATTTGTGTATTAAATTTAATTTTGTTTGTATTCATTCGAGCTTCATTCGGTGTACATTTGATTGTTCTATGTTTTGTATTATTATAATTTTGTGTAATTTTTGATAGTGTATTATACCAATTCCATGTACCAGTAGCAGTAAAATGTCTATATATATTATTTTTAAGACTCTGGATCACGCGTTCCGCGATTGCACATTTAATAACACTGTATGAACTGTAATGTTTAATTTTGTATTTTTTCATTAAATCTTGAAATTGAGCATTGTAAAATTCTGTACCATTATCTGTCTGTAATAATTTCGGATGAGCTTTTTTCAATATATTAAACATACCTTTTGTACATTCTTTCGATGTTTTATTTTTCAACGCCTCAAGCCATACGTACTTACTATATGTATCTATGACAACTAAAATATACTTAAAACCATAATTTTGTTTAGAATGAGATTGCATGTCCATTAAATCAGCTTGCCAGAGGTCATCAATAAACCGCGTTACTACACTGCGTCTAGGAAATATTTTTCTCGCTGGCCGATGTAACTCATTAGCTATACTCTCTAAGGTAGTAATTATACTATAATATTTCTCTCACGTAGTTCTTCTAAAATAGATATTATTTCATTATTCACACCAGTATTACCAACACTTTGTGATGATGTCAAAAGATTTAATCTAGTTACTAGCTCATTCGGATCGTCATAATAAACTAATTGGGTTTGAGGTAAGACATCTTTATATAAACCAGAACCTTTCATAGTCTTTGGTGATGAAGTAAAATTAAACATCTTTTCAACTACGGGATTTAGAGACATGGAACTGTTTGCTTCTGGATTAAAATCAAATGGTTCAAATTCTTGTGTTATTTTCTGCGTTTAGCGTTTGAACTATATAAATGATTGTTAAATGATTTTAAATTAATTCGAGGAGTTGTATTCTCATTAATTTTACTTATTTCTTCGTTAAACTGTTTTTCCTCCATTTTCTTTCGATCATACAGTGGTTTTACAACAGTCACCCATTTATGGTACCTCGAGTTTCTAGGTTTTCCATCTGCTTTTAAATGGACTCCACTAGTTTTCAAAATATTGTAATAAGATTCTATATCTGCTATAGTTGTATTTTTTGGTTCCTTCTCGAATAATAAAAACCATAGTCCTGGTGTAAATTGGTAGTATTTATTAAGCAACAGTAAATTGCCGTGACTTAAAGTAACAGAATGTTTTCCTATTTTATATGAATCACTATCTTTATCATAATACATACCATAAGATTTATCATAACGTGTTGATTTAGGACGGTTATTTAAAAAATTTTCTTATGATGAATTTAATTCATCATCATTATCTTCTTCACTAATGCACGGGGTTTCCGATTTATTTCCTTGTTCAGTTGACCGTGTGTTACATATTACATTTTGTTTCACATGTGTACTCAATGGTTCAATTATCGGCTTAAATGCTTCACGGAAATAATTTTCAGAATCTATAACACCACGTTTCATTTCCATTATTTTTCGTTGTCAGTGCCGCAACTAGGTATTGTGGGGCCATGATGCCAAAAATGTTATGGTGCCCCTGTACTTATACTAAACAGTATAATGAAAAAAAATTAGTGCCACAGATAACCTTGGCCAGACCCCTAATACAAAACAAAATGTATGGCCCCCAATTTTTAAAACTTTTCAAGCAAAATATTAGTATAGTTATGTTGGTTATATTAAGTTCATCATATTTTTAATTACATCTCCAACAATACATCAGTTATCACTTATCAGTAGTCAAATAGTCAAATTAATAAAAAGCAATTAATTTATTAACTGATATTATATTTAAATTTCAATAGCAAAAAATAAACAATATTATAGGTATTATACAAATATTTTATTTTAAAAAGTTTTTTTTCTTGCCTTCATATTTGAAAAGTCATGTATTAGTTTTTCAATATCAAGTTCTTTTGTCCTTGATTTTTCTATGTTGAGTATACTTATGCCAGTTAATCTATCTTGCGAAATAGGATTACGAAGATAGTTTTTGAGGAGTTTTAATTTGGAAAATGACCTTTCGGCCGTAGATACGGTAACTGGGAGACTTAAATATATAATACAAGCAGTGAGAATTTGACTGTAAAGGGATGAAAGATCATATTCAATTATAAAAGAGGACAATTCTTGAATAGTTTGAATTTTTGTATTTTTAATAAATTCTTTTAATGAAATTAGTTGTCTTATTAAATCTTATGTCACATCATTATTGTAAAATGTTATGAAATCATAACAAGATTTAACTATGTCCGACTCTTTCATGGTAACTTTATTTTGTGGAAGTAAAAATTCAAAATTTCTTGAAACCGAATGAAGTCCTTTAAACCGATCTCGTAACTTAAATAAAGCTGTATCAATGAGAGGATAAAAAATTGCTATACGAAATTTTTCTTCGGGCACATCTAATCGTCTATCTCCTTGCATTTCTCCACAGTATTGTTTTGAATATATTTTACGGGTTGTGGGTTTCGTGGAAGATATACCCCATTTATGGCATAATTCAGTTGCTGACCCAACGACGTCATCATAACCATCTCTCATTTTTTCAATTGATAAAATTGTTCCTTGCAATAAATCACATGCCTTGTGAAGATTGGTTTGTTTGACGAATCGTTGTATATTTTTTTTTAATGTTATTAAATTTTCCAACAAGACTTTTTCTTTGTTCATTGTAAATAATAAATGTAATATACCTGTATCTAATGACTACCGATGACACTATGTAGATAATAACTGTGTGACGGTATATTTATATAAACACATAAAATTATTTTATTTTAATGAATGTATGAAAACCGCATCTATACCTTCCTTCATTCATTTCTCGAGTTTTATCGATAACCATAAACCCATAATAGCTATGATTCCAGCATAAATGAAAAATTTTCTGAAATTCTGAGAAATCCATATCTGCAGACGAATGATCGTTGAATATATGTCGTAATTTTGTATCATCTTGTTTCAGTATTATTAAAAAGTTTGCGTTATCTCTTACAAGCTGTTTTGATATTTTAGAATATGTCTGTGCTAAATAAAATACGGAGCTGGCACCTGAATGTCTACCAATGCTAAAGTATTCTCTGATTACAGATTGTGGGCCGCATATCACATCATCAAAAATTATAATAGAATTTTTCTTCGTTAAGTTTGGTTTTATAACCTTATCAGCGCTTGTCAATATGAAAAATTAGCACCTTTTATATCATCTATTATTTTTTTCAATAAAACATTTTTTTCCTGATTAGAGGTTTTCGAGTATAAATAAATATTTTCAAATCTTAACCCATTTGCATGTGTGATCAGATTATACATTACCTATATTTGTTTTTCCTGAGCCACTGGGACCAACTAGTATAGCACATATACATAATAACGAACCATGTCGTGAAGGTTTTTTTACTACCTGAACATCTACATTTGTAACATCCAATTTATCTTTCTGTTCTATCAAATCCATATTATTTTCTTATAAATACTCTAGAATTTTCCAATTTATAGCCAGTTATAGATGACGCGTTCAACTCGCAAATGTAAGTCAGTCAAGACTGGAAAAGGATTTGTAAACTCCCTTATAAATAGTCTCCCGTTCGAAGCCCATGTTTCAGGATATCAGTATTGTGGTCCTGGCACGAAATTAAAAAAGAGACTAGATCGTGGTGATAAAGGAATAATAAATAAAAATTCACTAATGCGAGTGTCTGACACAAGGTGGAATTGCCGTTTTCGAAACTGTCAATCAATAATTAATAATTATGAAGCAATCATTCAAATTTTAAGAGAAGAAATTGATTTAAATAATGATAAAAATGTTGCTCAAGCAGTTGGTATGAATAAATATCCTATAAAAATAAAATACATACTTTTTATTATCTGCATTGTTATAAATATAGTTAACTTATTTTTTGTAAATCATAATTTCATACAAAATTCTTTTTTTCCAGGTATTTTAGCCACATTACAAATAGGACCATTTATTATTTACTTGTTTATACTACACCAAGTTTTAGTTATTATAAATGTGCTTAGTAATCAACTACAGAAAAAATCAGCTACGCTTGGAAATACTGCAACGACAGTAGTAGGAGTTATTAAAGCATTTGAACAAAAAAGATATGGAGAAGAATTTACCAAATTATGGTTAGAAATACAAAGCTTTGCTAACAAACACAGTATTTCACTGGTTATTCCATCTCAAGGTATGCAAGCCCGGATTAAGGAGGGGCAGGGGGGCCATGGCCCCCGGGCCTCGGTAATTGCAATTTATTTAGGGGCCTCAGATTTGTCTATTACTTTTTTCATTATAGGATATACATAGCATAAATCACCTAAAAAAATCGATGATAAAATGATAAATTTGCTGACAACATTATTTTTAACTGCCTATGTCAAAATATACCACTAAAGTGTATAATGTGTATATTACCTACCCGCATATTGCTACACATTTTATCAGTTGTTACTTGTTATCGTTTGCCGTCGACCGTGACCGTCACACATCAATCGAACGGGAAAAATCTATTTTTGTACACCAGTACACAACAACACAACACGTTATTACGTTAACAACAAATTTGTTGTCTTCTGTTATCGTTATTCGTTTTGTCTTTTGTTTAATGAATATAATATTGTTTAATGTGTTAATTTTTGGACCTTCATTCTTTCTTCATATTTTAAAAATGAAAAGACATTTTGAAAGTGGTTGCTCTAAAAGAAAAAGAAAAGAAAAACAACAACTTGAAGTAAATAAGTACAGAGGGTTAATGAGCAATTATGTTTTACATTCAGGTGAATAATTTTATTTTTGTATATTGGCATGAAAAGTCATAATGTAATTTAATAATAATACTACGAAAATATAAATTTCATGTTTCATGCAAAAAAGAAAAAATACTGTTTAGCTTAAGCACAGATTTTTAAATTTTTTATTGGTTTTAAGAATTATTATTTATTATTGATGATGTCTTACATGTTATATTAACTTAGGTATATTGTTTTATATTTATTTTAGCCTTTAGGTATTGACAACCAAGTTCAAGGTGTGTCTGTACACAGTGAAACAGTTGTAACTGAACAAGGTAAAATTACTAATAATACTAGTCAACCAAACTAATATAATTTAACGTTTATTAAAAATGTTCAAGGTGATATTACTGATATTACTTAGCAATAAGTTGTTATACTTTAATAAAATAAATTGCTTTATTTTACTGTAGATGTAGAACTTAGGATGACAAATATTTCTGATGTGGATTCTGACATGGTATTTGACAAGTATAAAATTAGTGATCCATACTACTGGCCTGAAAAAATTACTGACAGTTTCAGAGAACATTGTATTCAAAAAGGACCTGAGTGTTTTCAAAATAAGAATGATGATTTCAAACAGTCTGCTCGTATACACGGTATTTTATTTATATTATATAGTTTTATTTCTCAAATAATAATTACAATTATTTTATTTTTGTATACTTAGATCACAAAAGGTTTTTTACGGCTTCCATGTTTAAACGAACTCTACCCAATGGAGAAATTGGTCATCGAAAGTGGGTAATGTACTCAATTAAACAAGGATCCATTTATTGTTTTGTGTGTAAATTGTTTTCAAGTAATTTCAATAGTCCTTTTGTTAGCAAAGGATTTGATAAATGGAAGAAATCTGAGAAAATATCAGAACATAAAAACAGTATTGATCATAGAAATGCATTTACAAAATGGTTATTACGTTTGAATTCTAATCATTCAATAAATAAAGAAATGGAACAAATAATATCAACTGAGACAAAATACTGGAATGATGTTGTGATTCGTGTGATTTCTGTAATTAAATTTCTTACATCTAGAGGTTTATCATTAAGATGTGATATGAAGTATTTGGTGTTACTAACAATGGCAATTTTCTTGGTATATTGGAACTTATTTCTGAATTCGATCCATTTTTAAAATCACACATAGAAAGGCACGGTAATAAAGGAATAGGACATTCCTTCGTAGCTTTCTAAGACCATTTGCAATGAAATAATAATTTTATTACAAAATAATGTTATTAATTTTATATTAACCCAAATAAAAGAAGCAAAATATTTTTCTGTTATGATGGATTCCACTCCAGACCAATCAAAAGTAGATCAGATGGCACTTGTGATTCGGTACTGCACATCGTCAAGTGTTCATGAAAGATTAGTTCAATTAAGTCCTATCAAAAGTCATACAGGTGAATCAATATTTGTTCTTTTAGAAGAATTTCTTGAAAAAGCTGAACTTAATATAGTAAATTGTCGCGGGCAGTCGTACGATAATGCCTCCAACATGAGTGGGAAATATAAAGGATTACAAGCACATGTAAAGAATAAATGTGATTTGGCTGTTTATATACCCTGCACGGCTCACTCCCTGAATCTTGTTGGTGTTCATAGTGTTGATTGTTGTATAGAAGCAGTCAGTTTTTTTGGATTTCTACAATGTATATTCAATTTTTTTAGTGGATCTACTCATAGATGGGACATTTTGACCAATACTTTAGATAAAAATGTGAAAGGCCGATTACTTGTACTGAAATCCCTTAGTCAAACTAGATGGTCCTGTCACTCGGATTCTTGTCAAGCACTTACTCATAATTACATAAAAATAATAAAAGCTTTAAAATGTATTAGTGAAAATAATAGTAAAAATGGAGACTCAAAAAGGGATGCTAAAATGCTTTTAAAACAAATTAAAAAAAAAGAAACTGCATATCTTTCTTTTTTATGGAATGATATATTGAATAGGTCTAACAAGACAGTTCTTGTGACCCGTTGAAAGCGTTGAATTTACTGAAATCGTTGAAAAATTACATTTTAAATTTAAGAAACAGTAGTGTAGTATATGAAAGTAAAGTTATTGAACTTGGTCCAGAAATCAATAGTCTTTATCATGATGAAGGAAGAAGGACATAAAAAAAAAATGTCAGTGGTTCAAATAATACTGTGTTGCAAGGTGGTGTTAAATTTAGAATTGAAACCCACAACATAATCATTGATACATTTTGTTCAGAATTAGACCGACGAATTGAAGCCTACAAGTTTGTTTCAGACAATTTTTTATTTGTTACAAAGTTGTGTGTTCCGTTGACAGTTGTCTCTTATCGCGGAAGGTTGTAGTGTTCGTTAGCAATATTGCTCGCTTATCTTTATTTTATTTTATTTTAACATTCTATTTGAAATGCTGTGTTCTGTTTGCTCTGACGACATACACCAAGGCGATGAAATAAAATGTGTTAAATGTTATGAGTTTCTACATTTTAACTGTTCCGGTCTTCGTGAAGCAAACTTTAGAAAAATGTCGAAATCTTTGAAGGAAAAATGGTCTTGTTCTAATTGCAAGGTGAAGAAAGTTGCAACTGCACCTGTATTAACTCAACCAATCACCGATGAGACATTAAAAAATGTCGTCGATGCTGTGAACTTTATGAGTTCGCAGTTTGACGATTTTAGTCTTAAGTTAAAACAATTGATCTCAACCGTAAACGATCTAAAAAATGAAAATATAAGAATCGTGGAAGAAAATGCATTTCTAAAGAAAGAAATGGTAGCAGTATCCGGGCGTTTGAACAAATTGGAGCAAAAATCGTTGGAGTGCCATATGGAAATTGTAGGTGTACCCGAGATTGATAACGAAATTTGTATGAATACTATAAAAAAAATTGTAACTAAGTTGGGTTCTGATGTTACAATCAAAAAGGTGTTCAGGATACCTTCTAAATTTAGTGATAAACCTAGAAAATTATCCGTATGCTTTAATTCGGTGAATGAAAAAAATAACTTTATGGAAATAGCGAAAAAACAGAAACTAGCAGTGAAAGATGTGGACTCGACATGGATTGTCGCGGCAATATACTTTAACGATCAAATGACTTATACGTTTAGAAATTTATTTTTCAAAACAAAAACGGCAGCGAAACAGGTTGGTTACAAATATATTTGATTTAAGAACAATACAATTTTTTGCAAAAAAGATGACAATTCAAAATTAATTATTATTGATAATGAAAACTCAATTACTAAAATTGTATAAATATTAGTTGTTATTTACCTCCAAATTTTGTTTTAATTCTAAGTTTTAATTTATCTTTTTTATAATGAATAATATACTAGATGTAGTTGAAAAATATAATAATTATAATACTAAATATTTTGAATCCTTAACTGATATCTTGAATAATTTTAATTTTAATACCAACATAAATGCAGATTTCTTTAATGTAATGTGTACTAACATACGCAGCGTCAATGCAAATTTTGATGAACTCTTATTATACTTAGAGAATGATACAAGTTATAAAAAAATAGACATACTTATTCTAACCGAAACATGGCATAATGTAGAGGACTGCGAGTATACGATACCTAATTATACTACTTATTTTTCAACCACTAAACGCAATCAAAATGACGGTGTGATGATTTTCGTTAAGTGTAGCTTATCGGTTAATTTAGTTGAGTTCGGTTATCTTGAAAGCAATATCATTAAATTGTCTTTATGTGTAAATAATACACCTTTACTACTATACTGTGTCTATAGGTCACCAGCGGGTAACATTAATGACTTCATTACCAATTTACGTGATATTTTTGATAATGAAAACTCCGATAAAGGTTATTCGTTCTTAATAGGTGATATGAACATTGATATTCTAGGAAACACTAATAATGATTATCTTGATATGTTGGCTGAATACGGTTACAAATCATTTGTAAATATATACACTAGAATACCACTGACAGGCATGAATTCGTGTTTGGATCATATCTTCATCAAAACAAATAATATAAATTCAAATGAAATTGTAGCAGGAGTTATTCAGACATTTATTACAGACCATTTTTCTATTTTTACGGCAGTGCCAATATCAAGCAGGCCTAAGTATGAAAACACAATTATTAAAAAAAATTTTAATTACAACCTCTTATGTACCTACGCTCCTAAAACAAGAAAATTGGTCTTTCCTTAATAATTCAACTAATGTAAATGAATTAATTGATATATTCTATACAAAATTAAACAATTCTATTGATAAATCCAGTTTTGTAGTAAAGTTAAATTCAAAAAACAAAATTATTAAAGAATGGATGACTAAAGGACTCTTAACTTCAGCACGTCGTAAAAACGACCTTTCCAAAATGGTTAGTAAACATCCTAACAATATAAAATTACGTCAGTATTACATTAAATATCGAAATCATTTTACTACATTACTAAGAGCCAGAAAGATAAGTTTCTACAAATCGGAATTTTCTAATATAAGTACTAACCCAAAACTTACATGGAAATTAATTAATAATTTAACAAAAAATAGTATTAACATAAGTAATGAAATTTTCAAGAATAATATTGAAAGCAATGGTCAAATAATTAACACCCAAGTAGACCCTTTAAATACAGCTAATATTTTCAACTCTTTTTTCTTAGGTATTGGGGAAGACTTAGCTACTAAATTCAAAAATAATACGCATAACATTAATGAAAATATTTCAAATTCTCAAAATATTTCTTTTAATGAAGATTTCTTAAAAATTATAGAAAGAACAGAGGTCCTTAATATAATAAATAATTTTAAAGATAAAACTGCAGCTGGGTTTGATAAATTATCGGTCAAGCTTGTAAAACATATTGCGCCTTACATAGTAGAGCCACTCATATTTATACTAAATTTATGCTTAAAACAAGGTATTTTCCCGGATAAATTTAAAATTGCAATCGTGAAACCTTTATATAAAACTGGAAATAAAGAGAATATTAGCAACTATAGACCTATATCTATGCTCTGTAATTTCTCAAAAATTTTTGAAAAAAATATAAAAACCAGACTAATAACATTCTTAGAAAAGAATAAACTATTATCCAAAAATCAATTTGGTTTTCGTACTGGTAAAAGCACGACTGGAGCTCTATATACTACGATAAAATTTTTATACAAGGAGCTGGACCAAAATAAAAAAATAATAGCAGTCTTCTTAGATTTGGCAAAAGCTTTCGACACAGTAAATCATGCAGAACTTTTAAAAATCTTACCTAGTTTCGGAATAACAAAAGATAGCCTTATGTGGTTCGAAAATTATTTAATGAATAGAAAGCAAGTGGTATCGATTAATGGCGTCTTAAGCAATGAGGGAGTCATCAAATATGGAGTGCCCCAGGGTAGTGTTTTAGGTCCAGTTTTGTTCATCCTATATATAAACAACATTTGTAACTTAAGTATTGATGGTCTAATTACCACTTATGCTGATGACACCTGCATTTTATTCTCCAGCAACACTTGGGACAATGTTCATCACAAAGCAACAATAGGAGTAAATAACATATTTAAAGAATTGAATAATATCAAACTCACTTTGAATATAAATAAAAGTGTATTTGTTGCCTTTTCAATTTATAACTCAGCTATTCCGTTCAATGACATTTATATCCACTCTTGTGATACTAGCAATTTAAATTTAAACTTATGCAACTGCCAAAAATTAATAAGGGTCACTCGAGTGAAATATTTAGGTCTTATCATTGATTGTAATCTCCGTTGGAAATTGCATGTCGAATATTTAGTAATGAGGTTAAGATCTATTATTTCCAAACTATTTAAACTGAACAAACTTTTACCAACAGAAATTTCGCGTATTGTATATAATTCTCTATACAAATCAATTTTCCAGTATGGTTTAATAGTTTGGGGTGGTTGTACTGACAATGCAATCAGGCCTCTTGAGATTCAACAGAATCTCGCCATAAGAATTTGTTTGAATAAAAAGGAATTATATGGTTCGTCTACTACTAATTATAAAGTTTTTAAAGCTCTGCCGGTCAGATATTTATACAAGCAGTTCTCTATTATGTTCCAAATTGATAACTTTGGTTTCCAAAAAAATAATAAAAGGGAAAATAGGTCATATGACATGCAAGTAAACTACACTAATAAGAGTTTTGGGAAAAAGTTTGTGGACTATTTAGGTCCAACAAATTTTAATTCATTGCCGCTGTACCTAAAAAAAATTATTTCTAGTAATGTAAATAAGTATAATTCTATAACTAATAAAAAAGCTATTGTTAATTACTTATTACTTGAACTTTAATTATATATTATGTAGAATTTAAGTATTTAATATTGTTGCTAATCACAAATTTTGTTCTTCTTTGTTAATCTTATCATATTTACTTTCTTTGTTTTTTTATTTAAATATTATATTGTACACTATCAACTCATCTACCTCGCCACAAGCATTGCTTAATGAGGCAGATAAATTAATAATTTATTGTTATTATTAATTAAATAAAAAAAAAAAAAAAAAAAAATTGTTGACACAATTAATGAAGACAATAATATTGAAAACTTTATATTGACCTACAAGGAAGATGTAGATAGTTACATAAAAAATGAAATCAAACAATTTCAAGAATATTTTTCCTTATGCAAACCATCAATTGAAGACCATGAACATTTTAGTATTATTGGTCTTTGGAAATGGTTTAATGAAAATGAATTAATTGATGTCTTTCCCAATTTATATATTGCACTTAAAATATATTTAACTATACCAAGTTCAAATTGTTCAGCCTAAAAGAGCTTTTTCAAAACTAAATAGAGTAAAGAACAAATACAGGTCAACATTAAAACAAGAAAATTTGACTGCGCTTATGATATTGGCATCAGAAAATGACATTCTTCAAACAATTGATAATGAAACAGTTATTAAAGAATTTTTTCAAACAAAAGCTATGAAAAAAACTTGCAATTATAAATTATAAATAAAATAATAATTATTCATCATTTATTACTATGTACTTATTTATATTTATTATAATAGTTAGGTATATCGTATATAAATAATATATTCGTTTTTTTCGTACAGGGGCCTCATTTAAAACTTTGGCCCCTGGGCCTCACAATGTCTTAATCCGGGCTTGAAGGTATGACTACTATGAATATAATATTTCTTAAATAGTTTAAATCAACACACAAATATTGTTTTACAGGATCAAAAAGAAAAAAAACTGTACCAAATTCATTCGAAAATTTCTACTTAACAACTACTTCTAGTTTCGAATCTGCTGCAAATGTAAATGATGCAAATTGTTCTGTAGAAGAATTTTGGCTCATTAATGGATATTATATAGTACTAGATAGCTTAATTTAAAACATGAACGACAGATTTTCTGCAGAAAGCTTAAAATTAGCAGTGTCGGTTGACCAATTATTTAAGTTGAACTTTAAAAACGGCATGAATTTTTTTGATCATTTTATGGTAAGTCTTTGTCACTTTTACAACTTAAATGTTGTTAAATTAATCAATTAAACAGATAATTTTAATTAACATTTCAAAAATATTTATAAATATTAAAAATTACTGGAAAATATATTATAATTTATGTTTCTGAATTGTAATTACGAATTTAAAAATAAACTTCATATTTTCAGTACACATCAAATCTAATTGATATTGTTTGTTTTGTTTACAGAGACTAACAGGAAGTTGTAAAAAATCATTAGAAGCTGAGATGACCGTTGCTAAATCTTGCTTACTAGCAAAATATGTAAATTTTGATATAACAGATGTGATTGAGCTTATTAGTCCAACAGTATATTCTAACCTGTACAAATACTTGCAACTCGCGACAACGATACCCATCAGCAAGGCCGTATCTGGGGGGGGGTCAACAGCCCACCCCCCCCCCCGAAATTTTTTTCGTTATTTTATGTCGTAATAAAATAACTATTTCAGTCTAGAATAATCGATAAACATTGATACGTGCATATACGAATGACAGCTATGGTCTACGTTATAAACTTAAAAATAACTTCACTTCGGGTGTACCTATCAGCTGGATTTCTTGATAATATTATAGGTACATACTACATAGGTATTAGGTATATATGTATATTGTATAATACATTACCACCAGAATGTGTAATCGACAAAGAACTATTTCTTAGTATTATATAGTACTATATCTTATCTTAATAGGCTTTGATAATAGTTAAAACTTTTTCAACGGCAATATTCATTTCCAATATTTAGTTGACATTTGGTTTACGTTCTGACGTTTTAGTGTGCTACGATTTACGAAGTGTTTAATTTATTTATTTGAAATGGCAAAAAGACAAAACACTATGATGAATAATTTCTTTATAAAAAAGCCTAAATTAAATTTATTGGAAAATGAAGTCGAAGACACACCACATACATCAAGTTTATGTCCAGAGTTGAACAATGAAACATATACCTCAAACGTTAATATTTATGATATTGGGAAATATTTGAATCAAACTGTAAGTAACGAATTGAAGTATAAATTATTAGTTAATAAAGGGACACCCGATGAAACTTATAAATTTCCCATAGTTGGAAAAAGAAATTTAAAATTCCAGTTTAATTGGTTTAAACGATTTTCTTGGCTTGCTTACACAACAATAGGCGAACAAGGAGCAATGTTCACGTTTTGTGTTTTATTTGCCAGGGATTTCGAAGGAAAGGGAAATCATCAGCAATTGGGAATCTTAGTTAATAAGCCATTTAATAATTGGAAAAAAGCTATTGAAACTTTATCCCATCATAGCACAACACAATTTTTTTTTAACTGTTTAATCATTAAAGAGTTAAATTTTTATTATTTTCCTATTTAACAAAAAATCTTGAAATTTTCAAAAACTAGACTTTTTTCACCTCAAGTACCATACTTACTGGATTAAAAATCAAGAAATCAATAAAGTTAGGTTTAATAGTGAGTTACTGCCTTATTCATTGGGCATGTCGATTTGTATGTCTTTTTTTACATCTATTCTTTGAAATATTTTAAGTAGCCAGTAGGTACTTATAGCCCCCTCTTGTATCCGCGCCTGGTACCTTGGTATGCATGTATAATTCCAAAAATAATTGTATATTAGTTACCTATTTCAATTCTTATAGTTAACTAAAATTAGGTCTGTATTATTTAATAAACTTCAATCTTATGTTAGCGTTGAAGCCTGTGTTCTTATATAATAATAAAAAAAAAAAGAAAACAACGAATGATGATACAAGAATAAATAGAATTGGAGTACAATTGAACCCTTAAGTATTTTTAATTAGGTACGTATCCCTATACTTATTTTATTAAATGATTCAACAAGTTAGTAGGTATTTTAAATTACTTTATCTATAAAAATAATTTTACTTAAATTGTACAATTTAGAAAAAGGAGAATAATATAGGTATGCTGAAATAAATAACAAGATTTTTTTATAAGGTAGGTATAATAGTTTAAATAACAAAATTGATTTTGAAGACTTATACCGATGTACACTTAGTTTCAGCAGAACTTACAAAACCAATTTCTACTTGGTATACTAGTTACAGAAACACATTTTGTGTGATACCATAACAAACAGTGATCACAACTTATTGTGTTGCTTATGCATTTCTTGTTGCATATTGGACATAGCCATAACGTGCGAGAACTTTTTTTTTTTGCTACAATATTTTGTAACTTTTCCCAACCACAAGGCAAAAAATAATCTTTAACCTAAATTATAAAAATAATAAAAATTATATCTAAAATTCTTTCTTTTTAATAGTACATTTTACTCTTAATGTACAATTAAAGGGTTATGGGGAAAAACGATCATAGTCAAAAGAAAGAAAAAATCAAATAATTATAGTACCTTTTGGTTAGTTTCATAACGAATCGACACGTGAATCGAGTTATGGACAAAAGATCATGGTCAATGATATAATGCAGGTTTAAATATTACCATAACAGGAAACAAAGGCCAAAGTCCTACTTTAAAACTGCAATACTGAACATTTTAGGAATATTGACTATTATCGTTTTTCCCCATAACCCTTCAATTGTGTTGAACGGTAAACTGTGTTGTAAGGCAACACACAAAGTGAGCAGTCCGCTATATTTATATTAATTGTTGTTTATATATTATATTATTTTACTTGAAATAAATCAACCATTTCGTCGATGATTGTATCTGGTACATCTGAAGATATGTCATGTTCACTTATTTTCCAACCAATGTTCATGACTTTATCAATAATATTACCACTACAGAACCAAGATAATATTAACTTATATCTATCGACATAGTACATAAGTTTAAATGGTTTTTTTTATGAATATTTTCCTTTTTTTTGGGAGTCCAATTACAGTTTGGAGGGATCCTTTAGGTTTACCTCTTCTTTTAATAATTGGAATTTTAATCTGAGAAAGATCTGAAAAAAGATAATTTTATACATATTTTTATTAAACTACAAATAAATATCTATTTTCCACTTTGTACAACATATAGATAGAAACACTTATTAATTTTAATAAAAATAAACAAACTATTAGAATATTTATTTATGCACAGATCTGATCTGAGATTGTATGCAATTAAACTTACCAATATTTTTAGTTTCTTGTTCCGGATTAAAATTAGATGGATTTGATGAGGAAGCAACCTGTAAACATAAATCATGAATATTTTTTAAATTATTTAAAAAAATTTTTTTTTTTAATAATTACTGTTAACTGAACACTTTCATTATCAGCATCTACATCAATTGACTGGTGTAAGTGTACCTGTTAATAGTTAATATAATAAATTTATGGCTGAGCGAAATGTTTTTAATGCTCTTTTTTACCTTTTTTATGTTTGGAAAACTAATTTCATTATTGCACTTTATATTTGTGATGTCTGTTTGATCATTTTCAATTAAATTTCTTTCAAAATGTATAACTGGTTCATCAATAGGTTCATCCTTTTAAATGTGTAAAATGTTTGCTTAATTAAGACAGTTTAAACAATTTTAATGTTTTTGTAAGTTAAAAAAAGTAAATATTTTACTGTTAACTGAACACTTTGATTATCAGCATCTACATCAATTGACTGGTGTAAGTGTACCTGTTAATAGTTAATATAATAAATTTATGGCTGAGCGAAATGTTTTTAATGCTCTTTTTTACCGTTTTTATGTTTGGAAAACTAATTTCATTATTGCACTTTATATTTGTGATGTCTGTTTGATCATTTTCAATTACATTTTTTTCAAAATGTATAACTGGTTCATCAATAGGTTCATCCTTTTAAATGTGTAAAATGTTT